CGAGTAGGCGCTGGCGGTAGTGACCTTAGGGGACCTCCTAGTCACCACCTCCTTCTCCCTGGGTACATTCTCCTGTCTGGGGGGGGACTCCTGTGTTCCTGCCAAAAATCAACTATGAGGTCGTGTGTGTGTGGTTTGTGTTGCAAAGAAAAATGCAACTTACCTTTTTCTCTTCAATTGCAGGACATTTTGGCACAAGTCCTACAGATTTTATTGAAGTCGAAGTTACTGGTATGTCTGTGCACGTTCCGTGTTGAGCTAGACAAGAGCCTTTTCCTGAGATGATGTGGTAACAGCTGTTGTCCTGTAGGTTCTGGAAGACGAGAACGCGAACGTTGATGAGGTGGAATTGAAGCCAGACACCTTAATCAAATTGTATCTCGGTTATAAAAAGTAAGGAAAATCTGCCAGGTGGATGGTCCTGGACCACAGACTCGTCCCCTCGCGTCCCTGTGGACAGAGGCTGGGCACGGCGTGGGCCTCGGTCGTCTGCCGCTTGCCTCCGGTTCCGTGTCTGGCGGTTTCTCCACTGGGCAAGCGTCCCCTTAAATGGCTGGCCGGGGACCTTTGGGCCTGTGTCTGTCCCAGTGCCTCGAGTTTGTCTCATTTGACGAAATTTGGGAGAGCGGACGGAGGCACCGGCTCTCCCGTGACACGGGTGGCCTGTTACCGGCCGGGCAGGAAGCCACCGAGTGGCGGCGGCCTGGGGCGTGCTGGGTTCGAGCTTCTCACAGAGGTGGAAACTACCTCGGGGGGCGGGGGGGCCGGCCAGTGGGACGCGGGGACGGGGCTCGGGTAGCAGAGGCTTCTTAAAGGTCACACACGGGCCTCGAGCACCTGTCCTTTAAAGCGACAGCGATCGGTCTCCTCCGTTTTCCCGGCAGTAAAAAGTTAAGGGTTAACATCAACGTGCCGATGAAAACCGAACAGAAGCAGGAACAAGAGACCACACACAAAAATATCGAGGAGGACCGCAAGCTGCTGATTCAGGTGACTTGGGGCCCACGCGGGGTCGTGGGGTGGCTGGGACTTGGGAGCGGGTGCGGGGACGGTGACGGGCCCCGAGTGGAGCAGAGGAAGGAAGCGGATGGACGCAGAGAACGTGGCGAGTTCGCGTCCGACGGGGCAGGGGAGGGGGTCACAGCGAGGCAGCTTCTGCGGCTCTGCAGACTCGTGTTTTCTCCCCACCCCCCACCCCATGCTCTATATAAAAATGAATTTTTTAATTGACATCCAAGTTAGCCGATAGTGCAACAGTGATCTCGGGACGTGTTTTCTCATTTTTAAAACACTCTGTAGTTGGGTGAAATTATTAAAACTGCCGAGGAGACCAAAGTATACCGTGTTTATTCTGTTAGAGTTGAAACATATATCCTGCCATGCGTGTGTGACCGTGTGTGAAATCGCAGTCCTCTGCGCGGACACGGCCCTCGGCGGCCCGTTTGCTAGTTGTCCCGAATGTTCCGGAACGGTTGTAACCGTGACGTGTCCCGGTTTTTCCTCCCCGGGTGACGGGTGACCAGGCGGCCATCGTGAGGATCATGAAGATGCGGAAGGTCTTGAAGCACCAGCAGCTGCTCGGAGAAGTGCTGACTCAGCTGTCCTCGAGGTTCAAGCCGCGGGTCCCAGTGATCAAGGTACAAGAGTCACACGGCAGAAGCTGCCCGTGTGTCGTTTTATGAGAGCAAGGTGTAACGAAAACGAGGCCGACGGCCCTTGGCGTATCCATACGTACTAGGTTTCTACAAAAGGAAATGGGCTTAAGCTTAAAACCTTTTATCGAAACACGTACACCGAGCGGTGCACGCGTCCTGAGTGTCCGGTTTGCTGATTTTCCCAGAGTAAATACACTTGTACACCAAGACCCAAATCGAGAGTTAGAAGGTGACCAGCGTTCCCGAAGCTTCCCCTCGCTGCCTCCCCCACATTGCCCCCTGTGGCCCGAATCTCGCTCCCACAGCAGTTCCGCCTCCCTCGGGACTCTGTGTAAACGACCTGTAGAGTTCCCGCTCGGCTGCGTCCCAGTTGTAGCCCGGCCACGGGGTGCTCCCCCTCGCTGTGTGAGCACCGGCTCCAGGGGCAGCCGCGGGCTTCTTCCAGGTAGCAAGTCCGAGGCGTCCTGAGACCGCTCGAGTCACCGGCAGCCGGTGCGGGGGCCCCGACAGTGGGGCGCTGGCTTGTTCAGGAGTCCCCACCGCCCCCCAGTCCCTGCCGGTGACTCAGGACAGAGCGACCGCGAGGTTCCCGCCCCGTGGCCTCCGCAGCACCCGGCCCGGGCGGCCCGGCGCCTGGGGTGCTGGGAGGCTGCGGCCCCGTGCCGGCCCTGAAGACACTCGGTCGCCTCAGCGAGGCCGTTAAGGAGACGGGCACTGAGGGGACTCCATTCGGGGACGCGGTGGATGGGCCGAATTGCCCTGACTGGGCTCTCGGTGGTGCAGGGGAGATCCCCGGTGAGGGTGGCCCATCTCTTCGGTAATATGTGTGGTTTTTTCCTCCTGTCAACGACTTCTCTCTTTTTTAAAATAATGCCCAGAAATGCATTGACATTCTGATCGAGAAGGAATATCTGGAGCGAGTTGATGGGGAAAAGGACACCTACAGTTACTTGGCTTAGCCCTTCCGGAAGGGTCTGCCTTTGCGAGCCGCAGCAGGTAGTTCCGGGCCGAGAGAAGAGCTCCATCCAGCTCGCAGCAGCCAGCCTGGCGCCGTCCGGACCTCCCTTTTTAAAACCGAGACCGAGGCTCCCACCGGCCGGTCTCAGACGAACATCAGAACTGCTCAGGATTGACACGTTTCAAGTCTGTAAATACGGACACCGACGCCATTTAACCTAATTTAAGAAGAGGGGCGTCACGCCCCGAGGGCTGCATGCTACCGCATTTAAACCAGTCCATTGGCTGCGAGGCCGACGGCCGCCGTCCTCGGGCATCGGCGTTGGCAGCACCCCCTTTGAGAGCAAGTCTCACGGACCCACGTGTAGTCTGCTATGAAAAACCATTTGTATAGTGTGTTTCATTTTTTAATGTGTGAAAATAAAGAGAATTAAAGAATTTCCGTACAGGTCGCATTTGGTTTTGTTTCAAGTCTTACTGATGTCTACGTGTAAATAAAAGACGTAATGATTGTGCGGATTTATAATCCCGTGTCTTCCTGTAGTCTAACAGGCTGCATCCTGTGGATTGAGACTCGAAGCTCTTAAAACTTGAAGGCCTCTTACAGTCTTTTCCCCCAGACGCTCCTGCTCATTTCTAGGACTTGCCGCAGGGACTGGAAGGCAACCGCCTGTTGATTCTGTTTGACGCTTGGGAGGACCCGGTGGGTTAATCCTGACGTCCTCACGTGGTGGAGAAACTGAGGCCAGAGGAAGGGGCGCGGCCCCAGCCTGGAGAGCCTGGCCCGGGACCTGGCCGCTCCCTCCTGGTTCCAGCCGGTTGTCTGCGCGCAGGGAGCAGCCGTTCGGGGTGAACTCGCCAGCTTTTCCTGGTAAGACCACCCGGCCCCCAACCGAGGAGAGTGGCCAGGCCGGTGGCCCAAGGCGAGCACCCCGGGGTGGGTGGGCCACACAGACGGAAGCTGTCGCTTCCAGGCGCCTCCTGGTAAGCGGAGGGGAGACCAGAGGCCCGGGGAGCGTGCCCTGCGCCCATCCGGTCGCGGGGGCCCCTCCGAGCTCTAGGCCACGCTCCCCCGGCTGAGTCACTTGCTAGTGAGCCCCTTCCGCAGTCCCTTTCTGGCTGAGGGACAGACGAACCCAGGAGGTGGTGGTGGAGACTCTCCCCGGGCCCTGCTGTGTCGTCGTTCTCGCGAACCCCACCTGACACCTCGTGGCCTGGAGCAAGCCCGCCCTGCACCCACCCTGGGTCAGGGTCACAAGCCAAAGAAGTGAGAGGGAAGTTCTCCCAGTTCCCTGGAACAATCTGGGCCTGACAGGTTAGTTTAAAAAGTTACATGGGGCGCCTGGGTGGCGCAGTCGGTTAAGCGTCCGACTTCAGCCAGGTCACGATCTCGCGGTCGTGAGTTCGAGCCCCACGTCAGGCTCTGGGCTGATGGCTCAGAGCCTGGAGCCTGTTTCCGATTCTGTCTCCCCCTCTCTCTCTGCCCCTCCCCCATTCATGCTCTGTCTCTGTCGCAAAAATAAAATAAACGTTGAAAAAAAATTTTTTTTAAAAGTTACAAGTTGGGGGCGCCTGGGTGGCTCAGTTAAGCAGCTCTGGTCATGATCTCAGGGTTCGTGAGTTCGAGCCCGGCCTCGGGCTCTGTGCTGACAGCTCGGAGCCCGGAACCCGCTTCGGATTCTGTGTGTGTCTCTCTCTCTGCCCCTCCCTCACTTGTACTTCATCTCTTCTCTCTCAAAAATTAAAGTTACAGGCCAAACGGGTTAACAGGTAGTAGCAGTGGAGACAGAGTCAGTCAGTTTCCACAGCGTCTTCAGCTTTTCCAGTTTTACAGACCCCACCCCCACCCCCCGCTTTGAAACCCAGGCGCCTTGACCCGCTCCGGGACACACGTGCTGCGCAACCACGGAGGCCCCCGTGCGAAGCTGTGTTGGAGCCCCGTTGAACGCGGGAAGCGACGTCAGGAGCCGGTGCCGGGTCTCCGGTCCCTCCGGGCTCGAGAGCACCCTTGGGTGTACGGCGGGACGCGCAGAGCGGCCGGCGAAGGGGCCCTGAGGGGCGGCCGAGTCCGGCGGCCCCCCACGTCTGCGCCCCGCCCCCGCCCCCCTCACGCCAGGCATGCGCCGTCTGGCGGGGGGGGCGGAGCCCCACGCGCTTTGCCTTCGTGTGCCCGCTGCCCTCCGGCTCCGGTGTGTGCTGATCCACCGCCTGTCTCCTACCAGGAATGGACGAGCGAAAGCGCGGTCGTCGGAAGCTGCTTCCGGGGAGACACCCGGCCGTCGCGAAGGGCACCGAGGAGAGAGAAGCCACCGGGCTGTCGGTCGAAGCACCACCACCGCGTTCCAGGCTGCGCGCCCAGGAGGGGGACGGACGAGGTAGGGCCGTGGTCCGCGGCCCGTGAGGGTAACGGGTTCGCCGGGGTTGGGGCCGCGGTCGGACGTGCCTGTGTAGACAGACCGCTGGCCCGTCGCTCGCCGGCGCCTTTGCGGGACAGCGGCCGGGAAGGTGGCGGGTACAGGCCCGAGCAGCACCGCCAAGGCGGGGGGGGGGGGGGCCACACCAGTAGGTACAGGAACGGGCACCTGCGGCCTAAACGGTTTCTGTTCGCTAGACGTCAACTCACGTGGATTTGAGTCTACACAAAAAGGCAACAGATGTTGCCACGGCCTGAGCATTACAAGGTGGCCGGTCTCCCTGCCGAACACCGGTATCTGACGTCCCTTTGAAAGAACTCGCGGTTTTACCACCCGCGGACGAAAACCCAAACGCGCTTGCCGGTCTCTGCACGGCCCCTCCCTTCCGAAGACCGCTGTCCCAGGAATCGCAGTAACGCGGCCGGCTGGGCGACTTCGTTTTATTCCCCGAACGTCAGCTTTCCGGCTCACGCCCTCGTCCGTGGCCGACCACACGCTGACCTGTCCCGAGTGAGCGTGGGCTCTTCTTAAGCCGCTTTATGGAGGTCCTGGTTCGTAAAAAGCTCTACCTACGCGATGTCTCAGACCGCTTCTGATACCCACCCTCCTGGAATCCGTTACCACAGGGGGCCGAGGTAGAAGCCATCATTCGCAGCGATTTCCGTGTCCGTGAAGGGCCCAAAGCTCCTAGACTTTTCAACCGAATACTCAGGTTCTTTGACAACGTTCACATGGGGAACCTGTCTCGATGACCTGTCTACGAGTGTAAGTCACACGATTCGTTGGTTCACGTGGGATTGAGGGCCTCTTGGGCAGAGGTGGGAGCCAGGACTCGAGTCACCGAATGGATACTGCCAAGGCCGGAGCCTGAATGAACCAAGACGATACGGAAAAGCAAGCAGCTTCTAGATGGATCGTAGTCTGCACGCTTTTGTAAGAAACCACTAAATCCGGACCGGAAAGCATTTTGACAAACCGGTTACTCACGGTGCCCTCAGATTTGCCTGGGCGTCCGTCTGTGGGCAAGGGGCCACCGCCTAGACGTGGATGTTGGGACCGTCGTCACCACCCTGGGGCACCTGCCTGGGGTTACGACCAGCGGCGGGGGGGAAGAGGTCAAGAAGGGACCACAGAAATTGGCCGGCAGGGCCACCTGTTGTCATGTCAGGCTGTCGTCATCCGTTCCAGCATCGGATGTTCCTAAACTGTCCGAAGCCTCTCTGTCCTGGTACAGCCGCTACCCACCTCCTAGTCCCCTCCGCCGGGGAGGCCCGCATCCGGCTTCCTCTCCGTGGGGGGTACGGCAGTGGGGGAGGCACACAATTTTTAAAGTTAGTTCTTCCCCCACGTTTTGGCTTCGTTACTGGGTATTTGAATACGTCATGTGTCTAGCCCTGTGCCCGCCTGCGCGTTACAAAGGCGAATCTAAAGCCGACTGGATCGGACGTAAGAGGCCCTTGCGACTGGGTGCGTGGCCGGCGTTTGTGCCGAGAGAACCGGTGTAGAGAGGACACCGGAGACGGGCGTTTTGGATGCGGGCACAAGAAGCTCACCGTGCTGTGCTCACAACTCCCTGCTCTCCACTAAACTCTTGTCTCGGCCACGGATCCGGGTGTCTGGAGCGTCGAGCGAGAACCTCCCTGGACTCCAGGCTCCGCTCCCAGCTGTTCACACACGGGGACGGGCTGGCGGCGGTCAACGGCAGGAAGGCTGTGGCCGGAAGAAGCTCCAGGCCTGTAGACCCCACTGGAGCGGTGGTCCCCGCGCTGTCCTCAATGGGCCCGCGTGTCCCCACGGGGGGCGGGGGGGGGCCGGGGGGCGGCGGCGGCTCCACTCACGGCGAGCATCCGGGGCGGGACGTAGCAGTGACAGAGTCCGTCCGCGACGGACCCCCAAGCGTGTGGCACCACTTCCCGGACACGGGGGTTGGGAGACCGCCTACCCCAGTGTCCTTCGGCACCAGACGTGGCAGAAATGAAAGCGCAGCACGGGAGGTTGGCGCGTCGGGCCAGGTTTTCTGGCCCCAAAGCGAAATGGCCAGTTAGCGCTCGAGTGAGGACCGGCGTTGCCAGGGCTGACGCGCCCACATGCGGCAGAGACCAGTCCCGTCGAGGTTTGCGTGGTTGGAAAGGGAAGATTTGATTAAGCTTCACACGAAATAGCATCACGCTGTGTAAATCCACAAAAATGTCCTCTAATTCCGGAAAAGGCAACTGGACCGCGCAGACCGATCACAGCTGTCATGACGAGTCCAAGGCAAGAGCCCTGCTTCCGGGACACTTGGAGGGGTTTACCGGCCTTTCTTTAAGACCTGACACCGGTCTGGTTGTTGCCCATCACCTTTCGTAGGCAGGAAAGCAATCTCCCGCCGCTTTGGGATTTCCGAACGGCCACCTCGTCCAGCTCCATGATTGTCTACACGGAGATTGAGGCTTCAAGGCCCCTGTGCGCCAGGCCGCTGGGACCCGCCCGCCCGGGCCCCAGGACGCCAGCTATCTTGTCATGTTATACGAAATAATAACTGGGCAAGTTAATACAGGTAATAAATAGCCTTTAAATCGGGACCCACAGAAAGACACCCCAGGATTTCAGGGTGAGTGTGCTGTCCCCTCCACGGACAACTCGGTACGATCAATGACGACACCAGGGAGAAGTTCAAGTATTCTTTTATTCAAAGTTGAAAAATGTACCATACTGCATTATTGCAAAAATTCACTGGTACAAAACACTTTGCAGCTGGTGAGAAGGCAATAAAAAGTTGATTTTTAAACTCATTACTATAAATTATTCTTACAGTACTTTGCAAATTCAGAATTTCAAACTGCATTTTATTCTTCTAAATTGCCCACAGTACTCGAGGTTCCTGAAGCTAAGGCAGCTGTTCCAGAAAGGAGGAGGGGGGGAGGAGGTAGCCGATGTCAAGGGATTTCCATTTCTCTCTCGATGCCCACGTACTTGAGGGCGTCGGCCTGGCTGTATCTGAAAGAGCATGAAAACGCCGTGACCTGAGAGCCAGCATGGGGGAGACCGGCCCCCACCTCGCCCGCCTCCCGCAGCGTGGGCAGAAACTCGCTTCTACTCTGAGAACCGGACAAGCCTGTTGGAACAGCCCCCACCCCCTGCCATCCCCGCGGGCCCGGGAAGGTGGGTCCGTGTCACCACGGCCGGGCCCGCACCAGACCAAACAGGAGCCCCAGCCTCCGCGTGAAGAACCTGGACCCAGGGGTCGGGACGCCCAAAACGGAGCGCCGTGGCTGCCGCGACCTCCCCGGGGCAGGGGTCCACTGGGGACCTGTCGGATGTGGTGCCGCAGGCCACCGTAGTAAGTGGCGACACGCGGCCCGGTTTTGCCGCCGCCGCACCCAAGAGCTGCGCTCCCCCGGGGGGGCGCGTATTTGGCCACAGGATGTAGTTTGCTCAACAGGCATCTGCTCGCATCTAAATAGGTTCTCGGCAATTTACCCCGCAGAGCCTGACGCCGTGTCCCCACCACCGGGGGCTGCGTGTCCTCCGCTCCCTGACGGCCCGCGGGACTTCCCACAGAAAGGACCCAGAGGTGACCAGGTAGGACGCTGGCCACCAGTGCCTTAACTGTTAAAATACTAAACACCGATGACACGGCGGGCGCTTCGGCCGTCGCAGGCAATGACCTCGCTCTAACTGCCCTGGGGGGAAACAGAACCTCTGCCAAAAGCGAGTGCATAAGGCTGCACGAAGGGCGAGGGTGAAAGTGGGCTTTCTCCACTCTTCATCATACAGGCATACCTCGTTTTATTGCGCTTCGCAAACATTACTTGTTTTTGGCGGGGGCGGGGACTGAAGGTTTGTGGCAGCCTTACGGCGAACAGGCCGGTGCCATCTTTCCGTGTCTGGCGCATTTGGCCATTCATGCATTATTTCAAACCTTCTCATGAACATCAGGCCCGTTCAGGTGACTGGTGACCTGGAAGTGACTGCCGGCACTGTCACGGGGCATCTCGAACTGCACCCATGTGGTGGGGGTGTCTAACGGCTACACATTACAGGTGGTCTGGCCTGGCCGCTCCCTTGCCTGGCCCTGCCCCCACCCCTCTCCCTCTGCTGGCGGGGGGGGGGGGGGGGGGAGTCCCTGAGATGCACCAATATGGAAATGAGGCCAGTGAGCCATCCACTGGGGGCCCCTCAGTGTGCAAGTGAAAGGAAGGTCATGTTTCTCTCACTTTGAATAAAACAACTAGACGCGACTGAGCTCAGCGAGGAAGGTATTTTGAAAACCAAGATGGGCCAGAAGCTACGTCTCGGGCATCAGTGAGCCAAGTTGTGAAGGCGGAAGGAAAAGCTCGGGAAGGAAAAGAAAAGCGCTCCTCCGGGAACACACAGGTGCTAAGAAGGCAACGCGGCCTCCTGCTCGTGTGGAGAGGGTTGCAGGGGTCTGGACGGAAGGTGGCGCCAGCCACGCGTCCCCTGAGGCCAGAGCCTAATCCGGAGCCAGGCCCCGACTCCCTCTCCCTCCGACTCTGTGAAGGCGACTCTCTCTGACTCCGTGAAGGCGGAGAGAGGTGAGGCAGCTGCAGAGAAGCCTGAAGCTGGCAGAGGTGGGTCAGGAGGTTCCGGGAAAGGCGCCCTCTCCACAGCACCCAAGTGCAGGGCGAAGCGGCAGGCCGGCCGGAAGGCCCAGCAGCCGGAACGAATGCGGGGGGCCGCACGACACCCACCCCTTCGGTGGAGACACAACAGCCTTCTCCCGGAAGACGCCAGCCGGGCCTTCAGAGCCAGAGAGAAGTCCGTGCCCGGGGCTGACTCCCTCATCGGGGGCTGACGCGGCAGTGACCTGGATCGGCAGCCGGGGCTCGGTGACCGTTCCGAAAACCCGAGGCCCCCGTGAACGGCGGGAGGTCTGCTCCGCCTGCGCTCTGTGAACGCACGACGAAGCCCGTCGGTCTCCCGCACGGTCACTGAGCAGGGGACGCTGGCTGCTGAGTTCTGCTCAGCCAGAGATCCCTTTCAAGAGGGGGCAGCTCCCTGGCGGTGCACCCGGTCACATCCCAGAGCTCTGACGGAGACGGACGGGATGAGGGTCGTGCTCGTGCCTGCCGCCACCCCCGCCATCCTGCAGCCCGTGCCTCAGGCGGCCACCTCGGCCTTCGAGTCTAGTATTTAAGAAACACGGGTCACAAGGCGACTGAAAGCCACAAGGTTGAGCCACTGTTCTAGATGCTGTCACTGTCTGGCAAGCACCCCCCGGCAAGAGGATTGGGATTCGCTTTAGTGCAGGGGCCTGGAACCGAACCCGCGATAACGCCGAGGTATGCCTGTATTTCGAAAGTAAGCCTTACTTGTGTAACTTGGGGGCCCCCGCCCCACACCCCTGACAAATAATGACCAGAAATCAATCCCTCTAAGACCGGAAGATCCAACAAAGAGCTAAAAGCCAGGCTTTCCCCACAGCTTAGAGTCCAGGAAGAAAAAGCCCTCAGGTCACACTAGAAATACGCTGTTACCAACCTGTAATCAAAAAACAGCTCTTCACCAGTCTGGATGGCTCTCTTAGCAAAAATCCCTATCCTGTGATCGCCGTTAACCATCATAACTGGAAAGAGATACACACACTGGGGTCAGTGAGCTGGATGAGGACGGGCCCCAGGGAGGGTCTGACTTGGGCACATAATCCACCTCTGTCCCAGGGCTGTTCAAGTTCACTGTCTGAAAGGGGGTTCTGTTGGCAATCCTGGTCCCTCTAGCACCTACCTTTTGCATAGCAGTTTGGATTTACTGAATGATTTGCAAAACGAATCTTGTTACCCTTGCGGGTTGCATCCACCACAAAATCTGAAGAGAGAAAGAGAACCTAATGCAGTGAACAATTTCAGTCTGAAATCAGTAAACACAAAGTTACTACGGTTCTGGAGAAGCCACGGGTCAGGGTTGTTCAGGGCTGGCTTTTACGAAAAATGTGCATTCTTGATATGCCATTTCACCTTTTACTTTTTTTACTCGACAGCCTGCGGAACATGTTCGCAGAAAGACCTACTTGCTTCGGCGGAAAGTTACTCGGAAGGTATCGGGGGTGAGGGGCGCCCCCACCCCCCACGGCCTCACGTTCGCTGCCCCAAGACAGCGTCTGGAAAGCAGCTTCCTCATTCTCACAGACCTTCTGAGAACAAGCAGGGAAGTTCTGGGGATGCGTCCACCCTTCAGGGCTCCCCACCCTTCCCAGGTCAGAGGCCCTGATGAGACCCAGCAGACTCCCGCCACCGAGGCCCCGGGGCAAACCCGCAGCACGTCTCCCAGCTGGAGCCGGCGCAGCCCTAGCGGGCAGCGGCTCTGAACCATCCGGCTCTGAACCATCCGGTTCAGCCTGGTGGCCTCGCCAACAGCCTGTTTCCGGGCGGTGAGAAACGCCCGACGCTTGGAAGTGAGGCGGAGACGCTCCCTGCAGCCCCAAAAGGACCCCTGGCTCGCAGATGCCACCCCCTCAGACCTACCATTGTTCAAGTTGAACAGAAAGCTGCACATGTATTTGTCGTAGACTTTCCCTCTTCTGTCTGCTTCATCTTGAGAAATAATCTAAAAAGCAAGACGGTTGTGGATTAGGTGACCCAAGCTCGAAGGGGACCACAGACCTTTTCCCACCTTCCTGACGCAACCCAACAGACGGTCCTGCGGCTGGTTCCTCTCCTGCGTTCAGTCTACGTGCTGATGTTTCACAACAGTGTTGACCCAGAAACACCACTCCCACATCTAAAGGAATCGTGCCTGGAGACCGTGATTGATCGACCAAAAATACAAACGGGGGACCGGGCGGGTGTTTCCAAAACGATGCCAGCCCAACGGGTCTTCTGTAACTCTGCGGCTACAAAAGTATATAATCAATGACACTGTTGTTTCTAGGTCCTTATCAGTCAGCCTCTGGACCGAGTAGGGCGGACTCTCCAGCACGAAACGAAGCTCTGGTTCTCCCCCTCGTCCCCAGATGCTAAATGCGAAATGTGACGAGGACCGAAGCAGCCTATGACCAGGCAGGCCAAGCCCACCGGCAGGAGTTAAGTCCAAGCTGAAAGGCATTTTTTATGACTTCGTGGCTAACGGAACCCCACAGACCTACCCCGTGAAACCCCGTCCCAGGCAAAGGCAAGTTACTACACACGACGCGAGTCCCCGCGGTCTGTTCGTGCTGTCCCCCCCGAGACCGGGTGAGCCCCGCCTTACCTCTCCACAGTACTCCGAGATGAATTCGTTTTTCTGTACGGGATCTTTGATGAAAATCCCCCAGCCCGCCACGTCGGACGGCGCCAGCAGCAGGTGCTAGAGAAGAAAGCGCACGGCACCGACCGGTCAGCAAAGGAGGGCGAAGCCCGAGGGCGAGTTAACGCCCCGAGGACTCAGACCCGTCTTCACGCGGCCACTGAGGCAGACGACAGACGACGTCGGGAGGGCTCCACCGAGGGGCCGGCTCCCCGGTGCTGCCGGCAGCTCTGAGAGGCCACAAAAACAGTGGGCTTTTTTGGGTAAATAAAGCCATCTCTGGTAATGCCCTTACGCGAACGAAACCCGGTTGGTAAAAAGTATGTTATTTTCTGTTTGAGGAGCTAAAAGAAGCCACGTCCACATGAGCAGGAAGGAGGCTGTCATGCAGTGGGGGCGATGAGATTCTTAGGGCTGAGCAGCGGTGCGGCGGCCCTGTGACGATGACACCAACTGCCTAGAATACGACAGCCCAACCCCTGAAACCGTCACAGCCAAAAAAATAAAACAGCTGCCACCGCCCCGAACACAGTGTCTGGCGGGAGGGCCC